ATGATAAAAGCTATTTTGCAAAAGTACAGAAGAGACAGAGAAAGAGTGGGACAGCCAGCGGCGGTGTTTTGGATCTTGTCTAAGGCTCTGGACGCCAGTTTCCCACACCCACCTGTGGAGAAATATGCCTGTAGAAGCAAAATATGGCAATTTCTGAATTGATCCGGGTGGTCGGAGGCCCTGAGGTTGCAGGGCGGGGCCACAGCCAAGCTGAGGCAGTGACTCAGCCCTAGACGCTGCAGAGTTGCACGTCTGGAAGGAGAGGTGTGACCGATTTTTCATCTTTCACTTTTCATTTTTCATGTATCTTTCCTTTTCACTCTGATCGCACTCTCACTGTCCAGCCCAGATGCCTTCAGGTGGGCGAGAGCTTACCCTTAAAAGGGTCCAGCATTGCACACACAATTTTCCCATGGCAAAGAGAGGAATCCTGAAGGCTGCTTCTTATGATGTCTGACTCTGGGAACCAACCCCAAAGTTGACCTGGGTGGGACATTTTATCTCTGCCTGCTCAGCAAAGGCCACTGGACAGTCAAGTACAATTGTATTTTTCGTTTTGATTGGTGGTTTCTGTCTCTGCTTTTATGTTGTTTCTGCCTTTGTTCTTTTTGACTTCACTCTATTCCCAGGGGTGGGAGCTTTCTACCCATACCTTACCCAAGAAAAGACAGCAACTGTGCTCATATAGCCAAGCTACAAGCATACCCTGTAATATCCCACCATCTGGACAAGAGCCAATACCAGTTGCTAGACATTACATGTGAAAAGGGAAGCCTATCTCCAGATCATATCCACCAGGAGACAGTGAACTTAACAACAAAACAACATACATCTATTTAAACATTAAAACCCCATATAACTACTGAAAATGTCAAAGAAAGTACAATTAAAGATCTCAACACATGTCCAAAAACAGAAAGAAGTAACTGACAAATGAGCTGGAAGAAGACACAGACTTTCCAGTAGAAGAGCAGGCTCTGGATCTGCCTGAGAAGGAATTCAGAAGAATGATATGAAAACAAATTCAAATGCTCTGAAAAGGGGTGGATGAAAATAAGGAAGAGTCAGGAAAGTGCTACCGGAGTAATCAAACAAGATAGATACAGCTGATATGAAGTGAGGGTAGATGCACAAGAACACCCACACTTGCAGATAATACCCATTTGACCTGGCATCAATGGCTGGATGATCAGAACATGACTAAAGGAAGAAAGAAGAAGAAGAAAAAAAAGTAACCCACTACAATTGGATGAACTTGATCTATGCTTGTGGATGTAGTATGACAAAGCAGCAAACAAATCTTTACAGTGAGGATCATTCCTACCCCCTTGGTATACAGGGTTGACAAGGATGGGGAACTTATGACATTGGCTACCCAAAATGGAAGGCAAGAAGTGACTGGCTTACAAGATTTCAATAAGGAACCTAGTTCCAGAGGGTATGGGTAAAGGTAGAATCTCCACTGAGTTTTTTCCAACCTGTCTGGATTGGGTTGATAAAAGGTGAGGGGGATAGGACTCTTGTGGTTCAATAGGGAATGATTGATATCAGGTCTGACAGTGAGTGTTGGAAAGGTAAATGTAAATGTCTTATAACAAATGGAGGGGAGTGGCTGATTTTGCAGTCTAGGAGTAGAGATCCCTAGAACCATTAAGGGAGAAAAGCAAAGTGCAGGACCTTGTCTGGGGAGGCAGTGACACCAGGGATGGAGGCAAAGACAATGATGTGGAGAGAAGGAGCAGATGGGGTCTCTGGACTCAGGGAGGGAGAGGGTCTGTAAATAAGAAAAATAAATAACATAAAAATTGTTTTGACCTAGATGTCCAGAAGCAATAGCTTCACATTTTGATATTTTAGTTTAACAAAGGTTTATATTAAACAATAATAAAAAAATTTGTCTTGAAGTACAATGCTGTCTGTGATAGGATATTATTCATATACCTATAAGGAAGACCAGTTAATATCACTGTTATTCAAATTTATGCACCAACCACTAAAGTCAGTGATGATCAAACTGAAGAACTCTACCAACTTCTTCAGTCTGAAAATGATCAAACACACAATCAAGAAGGAGAAGCCTTGGTAGCATATTGAGCTACCAGTTGGGTTTGCTAACCAAAAGATCAGCAGTTCAAATCCTCCAGCTGCTCTGAGGGAGAATGGTGAGACAGACTACAAATTAAAATCTTTCAACAAACTGATGAAGCACTGAATGTACTCACTTATCTATGCCAAGAAGTTTGGAAGATAACTACCTGGCCAACTGACTGCAAGAGATCTATATCTGTGCCCATTCCAAAGAGAGGTGACCCAACAGAATGGCAAAGTCAACAGACAATATCATTACTATCTCATACAAGTACAATTTTGCTATCAGATCTGTTCTTCATATGATCTCTAAATTTAGATGAGATATGTTCAAAGTCATATTTTGGCTCTCATTCTAAAGACAATCCAAAAATGGCTGCAAATGTACATTGACAGAGAATCACTAAAGGTTCAAGATGGATTCAGACAAGGACGTGAAACAAGGAATATCATTGCTCATGTAAGATGAATCTTGAATGAAAGCAGAGAATACCAGAAAGATGTTTACCTGTGCTTTATTGACTACACAAAGCCTTTTGTGTGGATCATGACAAGCTAAGGACAACACTGTGGAGAATAAGTATTCCTGAGCACTTAATTGTGCTCATGAGGAACCTGTACCAAGTGACAACTGTTCAAACAGAACAAAGGAACACCGAATGCTTTAAAAATTAACTAAGGTGTATGCCAGGGTTGTATTTTTTCACCAAACTTATTCAATCTGTATGCTGAGCACATAATTCAAGAAAGCTGGATTATTTGAAGAAAAACGTGGCATCAGGATTGGAGGAAGAATAACAACCTGTGATATGCAGATGATACAACCTTGCTTGTTGAAAGTGAAAAGGACTTAAAATACTTACTGATGAAGATCAAAGACCACAGCCTTTGGTATGGGTTGCACCTCAGTGTAAAGAAGACAAAACCCCTCAACATTGGACCAATAAACAACATCCATACAAATGGAGAAAGATTCAAATTGTCAAAGACTCCATTTTACTCATATCAACCATCAGCCCTCATGGAAGTTGCTGTTGTTGTTATGTGTCGTGGAGTCGGTTCCGACTCATAGTTACCCTGCACAGGGTTTCCGAGGCTGTAAATCTTTACAGGAGCAGAACGCCTCATCTTTCTCCCGCGGAACAGCTGGTGGTTTTGAACTGCTGACCTTGAGGTTGGCAGTCCGACTTGTAACCACTATGCTCCTTTGAGAAATCAAATGATGTATTTATTGCATTAGGCAAAATCTGCTACACGAAACCTCTTTAAAGTGTTAAAGAGTAAAGATATCAGTTTAAGGACTAAGGTGCATCTGATCCAATCCAGGATAATTTCAATAACCTCATATTCATGTGAAAGTTGGACAGTGAATTAGGAAGACTGTAGAAGAATGGATGCATTTGAGTTATGGTGTTGGCGGAGAATATTGAAAGTGCCATGGGCTGCCAAAAGAACAAACCAATCTGTGTTGGAAGAAGTACAGCCAGAATGCCCCTTGGAAACCAGAATGCCCAGATTTCGTCTCTCATATACTTCAGAAATACTGTCAGGAGGGACCAGTCACTGGAGAAAGTTATCATGTTTGGTAAAGTGGAGGTCAGAGACAAAGAGGAAGACCCTCAATTAGATGGAATGGCACTGTGGCAGCAGTGTTTTGTTCTGTTGTACATGGGGTTGCTTTGAGTTGGTACCGACTTGTTAGTACCTAACAACAACAATATATTAGTGAAGTATTATGATAAATATATTGTAAGCTTCAGAAACCCTATACTGGGTCACTGTGAGTCAGAACCAATGCCATGGCACACAGCCAGTTAACCATGTGTATTAAGGGAAATCTATGGCTCATTAATAACCTGCAATACGCAGATGATACCCTTACTTGCTGAAAGTGAAGAAGACTTAAAGTATTTACTGATGAAGATCTAAGAGCATAGCCTTTGGTATGGATTGCATCTCAATGTGAAGAAAACAAAAATCCTCACCGCTGGACCAGTAAGCAACATTCTTATCAATGGAGAAAAGATTGAAGTTGCCAAGGAATTCATTGTTCTTGGATGAACTATCAACACTCATGGTAACAGCAGCCGAGAAATCAGAGAATATTGAAAGTGCAATGGGCTGCCCAAAGTACCAACAAATCTGTGTTGGAAGAAGTGCAGCTAAAGTGCTCCTTGGAGGTTAGGATGGCCAAAGTTCGTCTCTCATAATTCGGACTCTTGGACCAGTTGCTGGAGAAGGATATCATGGTTGGTAAGGTGGAAGGTCAGAGAAAAAGAGGGAGACCCTCAATGAGATGGATTGGCAAAGTGGCAGCATCAGTGGACTCAAGCATGGCAACAATTGTGAAGTTGTCCCAGGTCCGGGCAGTATTTCGTTCTGTTGTACATATGGTCACTATGAGTTGGTACTAACTCGATAGCACCTAACAACAACAACAAATGGCTCAGTAGGAGCCCTGGTGCTGTAGGTTAATACGCCAGACTCCAAAGCCGTTTGAACTGCAAGGTCGGTGGTTAGGCTCACCAGCTGCTCCTCGGAAACCCTATACAGGATTGTTATGGTTCAGAACTGACTCGACGGCACTTAACAACAACTACAACATGGCTCAGTAGGATAAGCACAGGACTGCGAAACACAAGGTTCAAGCCCACCAGCCCCTCAGTGGGAGAAATATGAGGCTTTCTGCTCCTGCAAACATTTATAGTTTCTGATAAAGGGTCACAATGAATAAAAACCGACTTCACAGCACCTAACAAGTATATTAAGAATGCTAATATATAATATTTTAACTTATAACCATCATGAAATATTTGATAAAGCTTAAATTTAATACAGCTTGCATCTAAAACAAATGTACAGTAATGCTTTTAAACACCAAATTGAAAGTTTGGGGTAATTATAATAGTTACCTTCTTTGTTTTTTAATCTCATTTGACTTGTTTTCCCTGATTTTTGATACTGTCTTAAGTGCTGATTTAGTAATAGGCTGTGCAAATTCCAAATGAAAATCAAATGTCAGGGTAGTATTCAAAGACTTTCTCCTTCCACTCTGAAGTCTGTTTATCTACAAGAAAGCCAAAGTCAAAAACTGTGAAAACAAACAAACAAACTTGCACTTATACCTGGGTAAAATCCTCAGTGGAAAGGATAAAAATACATCTCACTTTGTTAACACACATATACAAGGAATTTATGTGCACGGCTATAATAGAAAAGGATTACATGCTTGAATTTGGGCATAAGTATCAACCTTTTTAGGCCATTTTTGTGACTACAGCCCCTCTTTTTGTATCTATGGTTTCCCCCAACTCTAAAATTCACAAGGGAGAGGAGACCCAGATGAGTGTGGGTCTTGGTCTTTCTGAATCTAAGAGGCAGAAACCAGAGTTCAGGGAGGGTGTGGCACTGCAGGTTAATGTGCTGGGCTGTAAAGTTGGTTTGAACTGCAAGCTGGGCAGTTCAAGCTCACCAGCCGCTCCTTGGAAACCGTATACAGGGTTGCTATTAGTGGGAACCGACTTGTTTGTTGTTGTTATGTGTCGTGGTGTTATTGTTAACAATAACAATCAACAAGTCAGCCAGAACTTGCAGGGCACACTGATTGAGAGGAGATAGCTGCACAGAGAGAACTCTAGAGATTGGAAGAGGGGCCCCTTGAGTGTTGAACTAAGAAATGATCTGCACATGCCTGAAGTAAAACTGTAAAAGAAAACCACAGAAAGTAGTAGGCTGAACAATTTCCTAGAATCACACAAGGCTGGGAATAAAATCTCTTTGATTCCACCTAAGAGCTGATAGACCTCATAACTCAGTCTACTCTATCGAGTTCTCAGAAGAGACTCACTTTAAGTAGTCATGTTGTTGTTAAGTGCCTTTGAGTCAATTCCGACTCATAGCGACCCTGTATAGGGTTTCCAAGGAGCAGCTGGTGAGCTTGAACTGCCAGCCTTGTGGTTCAAACTGACTTGTGGTCCAGTACATTATCCCACAGAGCAACACCAGGATTCCACTTCCATGGGATAAAACAGTATAAAACTACACACACACATATACATACATATACAAATGAATATAGGTTAAAGAATAATGATGAAAATGGAATAAGGTCTGTACCGCAGTTTATACTGATTTTTCAATATTTTAATATTGTACTACAACTAATGTGTTGTCACCATTGGGAAAGGCTGGGTGAAGGGCATGGATACTATAACTTTTGCAATTTCCTGTGAGTATTTAATTATTTCAAAACAGATAAAGAAGTAATAGCAATATGATTTGCATGTTATCTATTATCCCCTTTTTTGTCATTAAAAAATCAAAATCAAAGAAAATCTACATTCATATATGTATACATGTATATACATATTTATATTATGAATATGTACATGTAAAAATAAATGTGTATATACAGATAAACTTGCATATATGTGTATCTTTGAGTCCTGGTGTGGATTGTAGGGTAAGCACTGGAATGCTAACTGCAATGTTGGAGGTTCAAACCCACCAGTCACTCCTTACACACTCCTACACAGGGTCACTATGAGTCAGAACTGACTGGAGGGTGCTTAACAACAATGTACGTCTTTCTAAGAGTGCCAAAGAAGATGAGAATGGATAACCTCCAACTACCTATATTTGTTTGCCTCAGAGGGAAGGGTTGTTAATTAATTGTCTTTATGCAACTTTATATATTGCTTGACTTGTTTCTAAAAGCATGCTTTAGTTTTATAATTTAAAATAAGAAAAGGTTTGAAAGATGATTACATAAACATTTAAGAATTTCTAGACAATGTTCTACTAGTAACACATGAGAAAACATGAAAAATGCTTTGCAAAAAGGAAACATTCAATAAAAGGTAAGCTTTTTAGTTATCTCAATTTATAATTTATATAAAAGGGAATTTCATGACCAATATGTATGTCTGTCTTACATTTCATTAATTTTTTTTTTTTTTTTTAAAGGAAATATATGGAGTCCTGGTGTGGTGTAATAGGATAAGTGCAGGACTGCAAGTTCAGTTAAACCACAAGGTTGGTGATTCAAACTCACCAGTTGCTTCTCAGAAACGCTATACAGGGTTGCTATGATTCAGAACTGACTCAACGACACTTAACAACAACAGCAAGTTTAATATAGTTTCTTTTATACAGTACTCCTGGTTTGCTATCATATAGCTACATGGTGACTATATAAGAGTTATTATGCATGTTTATTATTTATTATTCACTTTCATAGATGACTCAAATAATGCAATTGTTTTCTTACATGTATCTTCATATGAATGCATGTTAACTAAAAAATAAAAATAACGTTCATTAGCTGTTTTACACTGAATTTTAATTTTTACATTACAAACCTTTTCTCTGTGGGCCAGGACTATCTTTTCTTGATCATCCAGGATATCTAACTTCTTTAAGACTTTTTCTGCCATTGTCAGTCAGCAAATTCCTATCTAAAACAAAGGGAAAAGGAGAAATATCCAGAACAATTCAAATTTAAGCATATATCTGATTATGTAGGCATGAGTTTAGAAGAGATCCACCTTTCATTAATGTTTTAGGTAAATCACAGAATTTTATAACAGGAAAGAATTGTTGAAGCATAGACAGTCAAGAAAGGTCACATGATCAGACTTCCCAGATGTGTATAAGTCCAAAGAATTTTTAAATGTATGATAAAGGTGAGTTAGAGAATGTTCAAGAGTACTATATGAGAAATGGATATGACTTAAAGCAAGGTTATGTGGCTTGATTTATATCTATTTTTCTTTTTTGAGGGGGTCATGATATAATTTTAATGAACAATAATTCAAAGAGCTCACATTTAAATAATTAATCACATTTAAAATAAATTAGCCGGTGATCCAAGACAGTTAATACAACATTTAGTAGGCAATCCATAGCACAGAATGAACAGCACCCAAGCTGGTCCTATTGCCATAATTGTTCATATTTTCTAGTTATTTAACACAGTTGGCTGTCTCATAGTAGGCTCTAGGACACCAGGACCTGGTTGTTGTTGTTGTATCGAGTCGATTCCGACTCACAGTGACCCTGTGTAGAGTTTCCAAGGAGTGACTGGTGAGTTCAAACCGACCTTGTGGTCCAGAGCTCCCAGGACCTGGTGGTCTAATTTATTTTCATTTTCAGATGAGAAAACTGAAGGCTACAAAGTACCTTACTAATGCAATACAAATAAAATGGAAGCAGAAATCTAGGAAAGTGCCCTCAATTTCTTTATTGAAATTGGAATAAATGACTATGCACTCAGTATATATATTTGTGTGTGTGTGTGTGTGTGTGTATGGTTCAGATCTTTTTATTCCTTCAAATTTTTCTTCCTTAGGAGTGACTGAAATAAAAAATACAGTTGAGTCCCAAGGCCTTTGAACTGTCTTTCGGCACCAGCTTTCCGCACATCTCCTGCCTCTACCCCTCTTACACTCACCAGTAGACCAACGTGGTTACCAGCAAGCTTACATGTCTGCTCATGTGTTCCCTTTGAGCTTCAGTCTTGGAGGGAGGTTTGCCTTGACGCCTCCCTAGAGAACTACTTGCTTGTTCTTGTAGTAGCCAATCAGACTGCCACTTTTGTTCTAGGTTTTTCCTGCTCGTATTTCTTTCAAGAAGTATCTTCTGCTCCTCCAGCCACTCCAGGCTGGTCTGCATGTCCTTTCAACTGGGAATGCCCCACCTCAGAAGGTTCTGGGCATTTATTTCTTTTGGTACGGTGCGTCAGTATATTCCTTCGATATTCTTCTTCTTCATTTTTTAAAATGTTTTATTGTGAATTATATGATAGTTTACATGAGAGAACATTAGCTTTACTTTCATCCTATCTTATATCGTTTCATTGCCATGGTTACAATCCCATCCATAATCATCAACCAACCAACCCTGCAAGCCTGCCTCCTGGTTGTCAGCACACAGCCCTTCTCCCTCTCTGGGTCTAGAGTCCCCAGCTGCTCCATCTCTCCACGTTGTCTCTGCCTTCATCTCTGGTGTCACTGTTTCTCCCAGTAGGATCCCACAACCCAATCTTCTCCCTTGATGGTCCCAGGGACCTCTACAACTTGACTGCAAAGTCAACCACTCCCTTCCTTTTGCTACAAAATGTCTACCTTTCTATTTCCAACCCTCACATTCAGTCCTGATATAATTATTCACTATTGTACCACATGAGTGCTATCCCTGTCTTCTTTCATCAGTCCTGCCCAGACAGATTGATACTACTCAGTGGAGATTCTACCTTCTTCTGTACCCTCAGGATATAGGCTCCCTCTTGAAAGCTTGTAAGCCAGTCACTTCTATCTAGCCTTTGCAGCCTCCCCATTTTGGGTAGCCAATGTCCAAGTTGCCCATCCCTGTCTACCTTGTATATAGAGGGGGTGGGAATGATCCTCGCTGTAAAGATTAGTTCCCTCTTCTGAGCTACTGCCTCTGTAGGTATAGGTCAAGTTCATCAAATTGTATCAGATTACTCTTTTTTTCCTCTTTTTTCTTCTTCTAGTTGAGCTCTGATCATCCAGCCATTGAAGCCAGTTCAACTGGGTGTTATCTGTAAGTGTGGCTGTTCTTGTGCATATGCCATCTCTTCTTATCTGCCAGATGCTTCATTCTCCATTCTAGTCCTCTGTGGCTATGTCACTGACTCTGGGCCCAGGAGTCTCCAGGTCTTGCCATACTGCTAGCCAACCGGGTCTCCACCTGGGTTCACAGGAGTCTATTGAACATTGTAGGACTTAGCTTGCAGCTTCATTACTGTATTCCCATTGAGTCTCAGTCTTGGAAGGGAGTTGTCCATGAGGGGACCCAATCGCTTGCCTTGATGTCTCCTGGGTGAGCAACTTCCTTGTTCTTGTAGTAGTTAGTCGGACTTTCATTATTGTTTTGTATTTTTCCTGTCAGTCTTTCTTTCAAGAAGTATCTTCTGTTCTTCTAGCCACTCTAGGCTGGTCTGCTTATCCTTTCAAGTGGAAATTTCCCACCTCAGAAGACTCTGGATGGGGTTCAGGGTTCCACCTATGGTCTTATGCAATGCAGAAGCTCCACAGAAAGCCTCCTTTACTGGGCAAGTTGTAGCCCCATTTTAGGTATTCCAATCAGTTATAGGCAAAAGACAGACTTACAAGCTTTCTATGGTAATATTTCTGGCTATTCCTTTCTCTCCCCCTTGGGTATCTATTTTATAATGATATGCCAGGGAAACCAAGATTCAAGACAGTCAAGCATCTTAACATTGGTTCCCCCATTTCCCCATTCCAACCATGTCAATCCCTGTGTCCTAGAGCCCTGTTGTTCCAAGGTTGTGCATGCATCATTATTTAACTGTGTCCCACTTAGCCCATGCAAATCTGCCTAACTATTCTCCCATCCACCTTGTTGTTACATTACCCTCCCTCTTCTTGTGTATTGTCCCCCTCACCAGCACTCAAACTATCCTGTGTCTATTTCTTACCCTGTTGTCCACCTTCCCCTCCCTCCCCCATACCCTAGCCCCCTCATCTCGGTAACCAGCAAAGAATCCCCCTTCCCTTTTAGTATGGGTTCTTTTTCTTAGTCTTTTTTTTTTTTTTTCCCTAAGATACAGTTTTACTCTTTAACACCAGGGTCCACAGGCCCAGGCTATAGAGTGGCAGACTGGGCACAGACCCTCCAATTTTCTTAGTCTTTTACAATAGTGGTCCTATGCAGTATTTCTCCTTTTGTGACTGACTAATTTCACTCAACATAATGTCCTCGAGATTCATCCATGTTATGTGGTAGCTTACAGCTTCCTTGTTGTTCTTCAAGGTAGCATAATATTCCATTGTGTGCATGTACCACACATAGGCACGTAGGCTGTCTCCATCTTTTTGCTATCATAAAAAGTGCTGCTATGAACATTGGTGTGCATGTATCTACTTGTTTTATGGCTCATATTTCTTGTGGGTAAATACCAAGTAAAGACATTGCTGGATCATAAGGTATTTCTATTTCCAACCTTCTGAGGAAGC